TGCTCAGTTTTTAGAGGTTTCAGGCCATGTCTACTGGCTCAGTTGTTTTCTGGGCCTGCAGTGAGACAGATAGGAGAATGTGGTGGAGGGGAACTGCTCACCTGTGGTGGCAGGAGAACAGGACAGGGACAAGGGACTCTCTAAAAGCAAGACCTTGTCTCTGCAGATCATCAAGTCAGAGTCCAAGAAAGGTAATAGTAGACACCCCTTCCTTAGCCACCACTTCCTTGCTTGTTGGAGAGCCAAGGAAGAGAGGATTAACTTTTCTGCTGTAATGCAGAAGGGAGGAAGCCCTCTCCTTTTTAGCCACTGCCCCTCCCCTTTCTGTTCTGAGCAGCACCTCCCCAAGTTGCCAGCAGAGGGACCTCTCCTTGACAAACATTTAAAAGTCTGGTGGGCAAGAGAGGTCACAGTGGACAAAGAATCTGGGTGCTAGAAACAGAACTGGACCGGTTTCCAAGTCTCTTAGTCTAAGTTCTTTCTGGATCCCACTGGACCCTACCACACTCCTTTTCCAACTGCTTCTCACACAAATCCCTGTGCAGAGCAACCTGTTGTTAGATTAATGCCTAGCACTGAGCTGAGAATTATCAACCCTGACATGTCTGGCCCCTAGGAAACCTGCCTTGGAAGTAAACTGCTTGGTTATGGGGAGCGGGGACAAAGAAGGATAAATCTGAGGGAATAGGCAGATAATTATTTGGGGAAGTGGGGATGATCCATTCAGACATTACAAAACTATTGGTAGATGGCTTTATTCTAGGGATGATGAGGTCCACACTAAGCAAAGACCCACTCTAGATACTAAATCAGAAACCCTGAAGTGGAACCCAGCACTCTTGAGTCTTCAACCCTCCAGAGGATTTGAGGCATACACTAAAGTCTGTCAACCACTGTTGGTAATGTACAAGGTCTATCCTAGGAGTGTCTTTTCTGGGAGGGTCTCCCAAATGGGTAAGAGTTTATTTTACTGGATCTCTGCCAAATTAGAAAGATTCACATCCTAGAATGAAAGAATATTAGGGGGATGGAGGTGGATCTTCTTTATTGAAAAGGGGAGGAATTGGTAGAGTGTATAGCATTCACAAAGCAATTAAGATGGCAAGGTGGTAACAGGACATAAAGAAGTTTGACATATTAGAAATAGTGGAGAGTCATTAAGCCCTGGATTTGAATAGCTGGATCATCATACTAAATGTGTAACCTCATAGTTGAACCTTGTATTTCTTTTTTTTTTTTTTTTTTTAATTTGTAGTGTTCTGCCTGCATGTATGACTGCATGCAAGAAGAGGGCACCAGATCTCATTAGAGATGGTTGTGAGCCACCATGTGGTTGCTGGGAATTGAACTCAGGACCTCTGGAAGAGCAGCCAGTGCTCTTTAACCTCTGAGCCATCTCTCCAGGCCTGAAACTCATATTTCTGGGTCTTGGTTTTCTTGTCTGAAATGCTGAAAGATAATACTAACCTCAAAAGCAGGTTGAAAAGATCTAGTTACATTCTAAGGAATTTTTTTTAATTTTTATTTTGTTTTACATTTATATTGTGTGTGTGTGCATCAGTAGAGCATGCACATGGAAGTCGGAGAACAATCTGAATTTGTGGGAGTCAGTTCTCTCATTCATGTGGGTTCTGGGGCTCAAACACAGGCGTCAGGCTTGGTGGCAAGTGCCTTTACCACCTGAGCCATCTGGCCAGCCCTGGTTTTGACCAAGACTGGCTTCAAATTCACTGTGAAGTGAGGATGACCTTGAACTCCGGATCCTCCTATTTCTGCCTCCCTAATGCTGGGATCATAGGTGTGTCTCACCACACTCAGCTCAGAAATGGCTGTTGGCTGGTACATTTCTTACCTAGAAAGGAACATGAGGGAGAAAGACAAACCTCGTGCAATGGTTTTTCTCTGTGCTCTGCAATAAATGTGGCTCCTCCTTTGCCAAGAAGTAGGGGATTGTTCTGGGGAAAGAAAATGGTCCTAAACCATGGACAGCATGACCTGGAGGATAAAAATATATGATCTATTCTTGAGAATCAAAAGGCCATCCTTGAACTCAGGATCCTCCTCATCATCTCAGTGCCAGGACTACGGGAATGTGCCACCATGACTGGCCAGCTTTGCTGTGTTGATGATCCTGATGAAGCTTAGAGATGGAGAATCTACTTAAGAGGAAAAACAATGGGGTTGGGGCGGTGGGGGTGGAGAGAGGATGGTCAACCGGTACAGGATGCAATAATAAAAGACAACTATTTTGTGTGTGGTGCTGGGGGTTGCACCACTGAATTATGCCCTCAGCCCAGAGAAAATATTTTCTGATGTGTTATAACACAGTAGACTGTGGATGTCAGTAATCAGATATTCAAAAAAGTTAGTAGACTGGATATACCCCCCAAAAAAGAAATGATAAATATATGAGGAGATAATATGTGCCATTACTCTGATATGGTTTCAGTAAGAACAGCTCCCACAGGCTCATCCATTTATTTGAATGCTTAGTCACCAGGGAGTGGCACTATTTCAGAAGGATTGGGATGTGTGGCCTTGTTGGAGGAAATGTGTCACTGGGGGTTTCAGAAAGCTCACACCAGGCCAGGTCTGGATCTCTCTCTCACACTCCGCTTGAGGATCAGGATGTCTCTCAGCTACTTCTCTAGCACCACACTTACCTGCCCCATGTTCTCTGCCATGATGATAATGGACTAAACCTCTGAAACTGTAAGCAAGCCCCCAATTAAATGCTTTATTTTTATAAGAGTTGCTTTGGTCACAGTGTCTCTTCACAGCAACAGAGGAGTGACTAAGACATCTTGTAATATCATTATACGTTATCTAAGTGTGTTGGAATACTGGACTGGTGAGATGGTCCATGAGTAAAAGTGCTTTGTGACCTGAGTATTTCATCTCATATTTGGAACCCACAATGGAGAAAAGTGACTCCTAAAAGTTGTCCTCTAACCTCCACATGAGCTCCCTGGCACAGGAACGTGCTTACACTCACAGAACAATAATAAACTAAATTTAAATATGGCAAATATTGTGTATTCATTAATTTTTTTAAACATGAAAAAGGATAATATAGGATTAATTATTCAGGGCTGAAGGTGGTAGAGTCCAGTTGGTAGTGTACTTGCTCAGGAGGCTCCCAGGCCTGGTCTCCATCACCAGCCCTGCCATAACCCTAATACTTGGGAGGTAGAGACAAGAGGATCAGGAGCTCAAGGCATCCTGGGCAATATAGTGAGTTCAAGGCCAGCTTGGGCTCTGTGGAGCCCTAAAGTCCATTTGGGAATCAGATTCTGAGATGACCAATTAGAGTGAGTAAAAGCAGGGCCTTCGGGTTCCAAGCCTGTCCTTGGATTTGCTATGCCTGCCCCTTGGTCATATTGTTAATTTTTCCTATTTCTCAGATTCTTTTCTCCAAAGGAAGGTTGTAAAACCTGCCCCATATGCAGATCAGATCCCTAGAAGTTCAAGGCCAGCCTGGTCTACTTAGGGAGTTCCAGGCCAGCCTGGCCTGTGTAGCAAGTTCTAGTCCAGCCAAAGCTACATAGTGAGACCCAGTCTCAACAAAACAAAAAACCCTGCCTCACAGAGATATTACGATTAACCAAGAAGAATGTCTGGTTTATAGTAGTTGTTCAATAAATGCAACCGTTAGACCTGGTGACATACGTCTGTAATAACTGCATTTAAAGGGTGGTAGCATGAGGACTGGTCAGAGCCAGCCTCAGCAACAGCCGAGTACACACACACTACATGAGACCCTATCTCACACACATACATAGACACACACACACACACACTACATGAGATCTTATCTCAAACACACACATACACATACATACACAGACACACACACACTACTTGAGACCCTATCTCAAACATAGATATACACACTAAGTGAGACCCTATCTCAAAACACACACACACACACTAGTTGAGACCCTATCTCAAACACACACAGACACACACACTAAGTGAGACCCTATCTCAAACACACACATACACGGAGACACACATACATTGCAATCACGGAGGACCGAGAGTCTGTCGTGAGCGATTAACTTGAAGAATGGAAGGTCCATGTGAAAAATGGGAAGGTTGATCCTGAGGAGTGGCCATAGGTGGGACAGGGGCTGAAGGGAAGTTGGGAAAGACTGGATCCCAAACCCCCATGAACCATAGTTACAGCATGAGGCATGGACATGCCCTGCAGAGGCCGCTAGTTGCCCAGGCTGTAGAGAGGCGTAGGGTGCGGGTAGGGCAGGTGTCTGACTGCTGGTAACCTCTCTACTGCTGCCGTAGAAGCCTCAGCAGCGGCAGCAGCCTAAGCAGCCTCCCTCCTATCTGTCTCTCAGTGTGACAGGTGGGAACTAAAAAGCTCAAGTCACGTGTCTTGGCTGGCTAACCTACTTACCCCTCGAAGACACAGAGGATAGGGCAGGAAGGGGCCAAGAGTAATTGAGAAAGGGCCAAAATAAGGTGTGTGTATGTGTGTGCGGGGAGGAGTGCCAACGTCAGCACTATCTGAGGACTCAGAGCCCAAGCCTGTAGGGTGAGAGAAAGAAAGCACATGTGTATGAAAAGACAGTGTCTGAAGAGCCCTATGCATGCCCTGGAGCCTCCCCGATGAGCCTATGCCGGCTTGGAGACCTGTGTCTGGCTGGTGGAATAAAGACTTTTATGATCAAAGCAGGCTGTGACTGGGTCCCAGGTTAACCTTGGCAGTGACTGTTCTGTTCCCTACCTCTTCATAACTAGTGTCCTCTTGAGCCCTTAGAGAAGGGCGATGTGAATAGGCATGGGAAAGGCTGTCTCAAAGTTTCAAGAATTATACCCTCAGAATTATACATTGAAGTCCTTTGTACTTCAGGGCTGGGTGGGGCTGAGCTCCAAAGCTGAACTGAAGGAGATAAGCAATGAGGGGTTTGTGTGTGCAGATAGACTGACAGCTTCCCAACCCCCTGGGCATGATGGAATCTGCACCCTACTGCCCAAGGATCTGCCCCTCTGAGTGACTTCAAGTCTCCTTCCCTTAGCGACCTCGGGGTTGACCTTTTGCCGCTGCCTCTCAGTCCTGGGTTCACAAAAGCCTCCCGTCTGGTCCCCACGCTGCAGGCGTTGCTCTTGACACCTCCATCCTTGCCATTCTCCGGGTGTGGGGAGGCACGGGCCCTTTAAGAGCAGCAGGACCGGCGAGCAGAAGCTTGGAAGGGAACGCTGTCGCCGGACTAGCTCCGGAGGACAAGCGCTTGGGACCAGACTACGAGAACCCCGCGAGTTCATCCAAGTGAGGTCAGGGCGACACCTCAACCATCGCTCTGCAACCGTGTCATCCTTTCTGACCCGAGCCTGGCCTTCCTCTACTGCCCGCCCCGGCCTGGCCCCGCCCCGGCCGGGGCCACCGGGACAGGGAGCCCGGGCGCCCGTGCCGCACCGGAGGCAGGTGAGGAGAGCCGGGAGTGTCCACCTCCCGCGCTGCGGCGGCGCTGAGCATCCGGGTCGAGCATCCCGGTGGAGCACCTCTGCTGAGCATCCTTGCGTCTCGCGGATCGGAGGCGCGTCAAGGTGACCAGGCGAGTGGGGGACAGAGGGTCGGCGTGGAGGGTCTGGGGTCTGCGGCTGCCTCTGGGGACACAGTCCGGAGGCGCACCGCCCCCGGCGCGGGATGGGGAGGCCGGCCGAGGAGTGGCACTGGCCCGTGCAGAGGGGGGCGCGGAGCCAAGGCCAGAGCCTCCCCGGGCCCACCCTGTACCGCCCAGTTTCTTCGACCTCGGAGCCGGTGGCCGCCCTCGCCCGCCCGGCCCCCAGGGACTGCCGGCCTGCGGGGTAAGGAGATTAAGGCCGCGGCGGGGAGGGAGGAGCGGGCAAGGCCAGGCCAGGCTGCAATTGACCAAGACCGAAGAGAGGTCGCGACTGGGTGTCACTGTCCTGGGAGTGTGCTGCCCGGTGCAGGAGACCGGGCGGGCGGGAAGAGGGGTGCTGGCATTTGGGGATCTGCCCTTAAAAGGAGGCACGGTTAGGGGGAGTGGAGGCGGGGCAGCATCGGAAAGCTATGGTGCTTTGAGCAAGGGCTGGAGGGTTGGCCCGGAGCTTAGCAGGCCCTCTTCCTTCAGGCCGGCTGTGTGATGGCGGAGAAGGCACTGGAGGCCGTGGGCTGTGGACTGGGGCCTGGGGCTGTGGCCATGGCTGTGGCGCTGGAGGACGGGACAGAGCCCCCTGTGCTGACCACTCATCTAAAGAAGGTGGAGAACCACATCACAGAAGCACAGCGCTTCTCTCACCTGCCCAAGCGCTCTGCTGTGGACATCGAGTTCGTGGAACTGTCCTATTCCGTGCGGGAGGGGCCCTGCTGGCGCAAACGGGGTAGGTGGCAGCCCCACGGGGAACTGGGGGTTCTCCCCGGAGTCGCCTCTTCTAGAATATAAGGCCTGGGGCTATCCCACTCTGTGAGCTTTGGAGGCCCCAACCCTCACTCATTGCATGCAGCTGGGGTACAAGATCCTTGCTCCTCACATCTGCCAGCACTAGGAAGCTAAGTTCAATTGGCTATTAAAGTTTTCTCTTCTAAGTAGACCCTACGACCTCCGGTCCTTGAGTTAGTCTCTAAGTCTCTCTCAGACTCTCTCTCTCTCTCTCTCTCTCTCTCTCTCTCTCTCTCTCTCTCTCTCTCACACACACACACACACACACACACACACACACACACACACACACACACACCCCTATTCCTGCCTATGAAGGTTGGTTTGGGGAAGAGGTGCACTCTATCTGTGGAGGCTCTCTTCAATGTCCAACAGTATCCGTACACCTGTTTTTAAAGATGTTCTCATCCCTCCGTCTTACTCCACTCACATCTTGCCACAGTCCCTGGAAGCGGGAAGCGGGGAGATTAGACAGGACAGATGTTACCAACGAGGAAACTGAGGCCTGGGGAAGTTGAATAACTTGACCAGTGTCCCCCTGCTAGTAAGAATCAGAGCAGAGCCCAAAGCCTAGCGCTGTGGTTCCACCTGCTTCTCTTTCCTCCCCATCAGGACAGGTTTCCCAGAGCTCTGGCCTGTCCCAATCCAGCAGCCGGGCTGGGAACCTAGAGACTGGGTTTGTTTCCCAGAACTGGGTGTGGGCTAGGGGTGGAGCTCAGCAGTGTCATAGCTTTGGGGTGCTTCAGAGCAGGGCTCAGTGTGAGCTGTCTCTACACGTTTGCTCACTTCCATAGGTGGCCAAAGGGTCATGGGGGTTTGAGCCAGGAGACCCTGAGGCCTATGGGCTCCTATCCAATACCCTAGGCCTAAGTAAGCAGTTTCTCCCTTCTCAGACCGGCCCTGGGTGGAATGGTGAGGTCCTTGCTATTTCCTTGGCTTTCAGAACTTTACCGTAAAAAGAAATGTGGCTAGATTAGGTACTTCTCCTTATCAGGGTGATGGGTGCACCGGCTGGGGACTCCTCCCTTTGGACCTTGCCAGCCTCATCTACCCTCTTATCCATTTTTCTGTCTTCTAGTCCTGGCCCCTTTTCTGTCCTCTGCCCTCCTTTGCCTGGCTTCTTCATTCTTTGGCTCCCTCTGTCCTCTGAGAAGACAGAAAGATTAAGGGTGCCAGAGAGGGGAAGTATAAGGGATCTGGGGGAGAGTGCTGCCTTCCCTGGGTAAGGATCCATCACCAGTCTCCTCTAACTGTGTATGACATTTGTTTTTTCAAACACATTCAATTAATTATTAGTGATCCCACTTAATAACCTAAGAACCCTATTAATTCCTTGGGAGGGAACACGACTATCTTTTTTTTTAAAGATGGGGATGGAAGCCAGGGCCTTCCTTATGCTAGGCATGCACTCTATCACTGAGCTACATACCAGCCAACTATTATTCTTTTATAGATGAGGAATCACAGACCCTAATGACTTGCCAGTCATAATGGCACACACCTGTAATCTCCTCACAGTGGAGGCTGAGGCAGGATGGTTGTGAGTTCAAGGCTCACAACCCGGAGTACATAGGAAGGCCTCATCTCCAAAAACCTAAGTAAATAATTAAAAGATTTAGTGATTTGACAAAATTACAGAGCTATTGACTGAAGCAAGATGGGAACATGAATGTCTCTCCAGTGGGCGGTCTGCAGGTCTCTCATGCGCCCGAGCAGTTGTGATACAGGAGGAGGTAAGAGACAAATGTTTTCAGCCCGAGGGAAGCTGTGTGGCCTTTGGTACGCCGAAGGTCCTTCCTTGGCCTAACTTTCCTCCTGGGCTTCTTGGGGAGCTCAGCTGAGTTGGTATCTTGAAAGTGCTTTGTGAAAGGCAAGCGAGTGTAAGATGATATTTGTGCTAGGCCTTGGCTTTGGCTGGCATCGGCTCTGGCATCGGACGGGGGGAAGGTTCACGGCTGCAGTTTCTTCTCTTGCAGAAGTCACTTCCCGTGAGTGGCTCTGCGGGATGTATACTGGAGAGCGTGGCCGGCATCTCTCTGACTGACCGCGAGGAGAGCTTAGGAGAGGTCGGAGACCCGAGACCTTCCTCTCCCAGTCAAGACCTGGCTGTGTGGCCTTGGGAGGAACAGCTGAGGGGGAGTAGGCTCTGGGCAGGCAGCTGGTGTGGTCCAGTCCAACAGGGGGCATGGCTCCGGGGGGCATGGACAGCAGGTCAGATAGGGTAGACTTTCCTTGTCTCTGCTAAGGAGTGGGCTTTGGACTAGAGGAGGGATGAAGGCTTGAGTTCTCCTCATCACGGCAAGTCTGTAAGCTTAGCAGACAAGGCCCTGGCCCTTGGCCTCCCCCCGTCTCCACCCTCTGCTCATCCGTTGCCTCAGTACAGTCTCTGCCCTCTGTCCCCTGGATTATGCTATAGCAGAGTTTTCTCTCCTAAAGCCCGGGGGCTTCTGTTCTTCCTCCGTAGCTACAATGCCACCTCTTCCATGAAGTCATTCCTGATTTCCACCTTGCTGTCCATCTTCTGAGAGTGACTTGCTGTAGCTCCCTCTCCACTGCCCGCTCTTCTCTCTTTCCTTCACACCGTAGGTGTTCCTGTCCATCTGTCCTACCTAGTCTGTGCCTTTCTTGAATGCAGAAACCTTGTCCTTCCTCCCTCGTTTATTTTTTTGCCTCGTGTCTGGTACAGAGCTTGGTACATAGTAGAGCTCAATGAGCATTTGTCAAATGGAATTGTAATGCAATATGGCTTGTGAAACGTACTGTATGTGCCAAGCCCTGAGCCATATGCTTTACATATGTTGTTAGCTCATTGACTCTTTACAACAGCTCTGAGGCAGGCACCATCATCCTCATTTCACAGTTGAGGAACCTGGAGCCCAGAGAGGTTAAGCAACTTGCCTCAGGTGACACAGCTGGTCATGTGGATCCAGCGTTTGAACCAGATCCACCTGACTCCATATTGCTGTGCTTTATGCACGTGCTGCCTAAAGCGAGTGAATGACAGGTGAAATGTTACGGGCCGGCCGTGGTTGGGGCTGGAGAGACAAGCTTGTAGGGCAGAGAAGTCACAAAGGCGGCTTTTTTTTTTTTCTTTCCTCCCCAGATTAGAGCAAAAGTTCTGTGAAAACACGCTTGCTGAGCATCTATTACATTCCAGACAGACAAGAAAGATGAATAAGACAGAGACCCTTCCCCCAAGATGTTCCCTGACTCAGGGTTTGGGGGAGGGGCGTGAGCACAGGCCCATTAAGTGACAAACACTCTGGCATCTGAAACATGCTGCAGGGACACAGGACAGGCGGCCAGATGCGCGCGCCCTCGTCCTCGGAGTGTGTGAGACAGCCAGCACTGCGAGGGGGGAGAGCCTGGTTTTCCAGGACCTCAGTGCCCTCACTACAGCCATTCAGGAGAGGCATCAGCTTTCCCACAGCCCCCAAAGGACTGTTAGCCCCTGGACTCTACCCCTAGTGGCGGTCATTTCTAGAGGCATGGGATGAGAGGGCGGGAGCTACGCTTGCCCATCCTAACAGTTCCACTCAGCAGTGGCTACCTCACCTGTGACTAACCCTATTCTAAGAGTGTGCCCCCCACCATGTGTGTGTGTGTGTGTGTGTGTGTGTATGTGTGTATGTGTGTGTGTGCACATGCGTGTGTGCACATGTGTGTGCATGCACATGTGTGCGCTCGCATGGGCATGTGGGGCAACCTCACATGTCATTTCCCCAAAGCCATCCACCTTGCTCTTTGAGACAGGGTCTCTGGCTGGCCCGTGAGGTCCAGGGAACTACCTGTGTTAGCCTTCTCAGCACTGAGATTACAAGTCTGCACCACCAATTCCAGCCTTTTTGTTACTGTTGTCAGAGAGAAATGTTTTTAAAAGGTTTATTTATTTATTATGTACACAGAGGAGGGCGCCAGATCTCATTACAGATGGTTGTGAGCCACCATGTGGGTGCTGGGAATTGAACTCAGGACCTCTGGAAGAGCAGTTGGTGCTCTTAACCTCTGAGCCATCTCTCCAGCCCCAGAGAGAATTTTTTTTTTTTTTTTTTTTTTTTTTTTTTTTTTTTTTTTTTTTTTTTTTTGGTTTTTCGAGACAGGGTTTCTCTGTGTAGCTTTGCGCCTTTCCTGGAACTCACTTGGTAGCCCAGGCTGGCCTCGAACTCACAGAGATCCGCCTGGCTCTGCCTCCCGAGTGCTGGGATTAAAGGCGTGCGCCACCACCGCCCGGCGAATTTTTTATTTTAAAATGTGTGTATGGCCGGGCGGTGGTGGCACACACCTTTAATCCCAGCACTCGAGAGACAGAGGCAGGTGGATCTCTGTGAGTTCGAGGCCAGCCTGGTCTACAGAGAGAGATCCAGGACAGGCACCAAAACTACACAGAGAAACCCTGTCTCGAAAAACCAAATAAATAAGTAAATAAGTGTATTATGTGATTATGTGTGTAGGGGGTGTGTATGGGGGTGCTGCTAATTTGTGAGTGCAGGTGCCTGCAGAGTCCAGAAGAGGGCATCATATCCCCTGGCGCCTGAGTTACAGGTAGTTGTGAAGCCACTGAGAGTGGGTGCTGGGAACAGAACTCGCGTCCTCTCCGTGAGCAGTGCCCACTCTTAACTGCTGAGCCGCACCTCCTGCCCTCTTGCTTGCTTGTTTGTTTTGTTTTGTTTTAGCCAGGGTATCAGACTCTGCCGTCCACACTGGCTTTGAACTCACAACACTCTCCTTGTCCCAGATTCCCGAGCCTGGGGGTTCTAGGCAGGGATCGCTACGCACAGGTTGAGCCAGGCAGTTGAAGTGAGTTCTGGGGATGGAACTCGGGTTCTTCCTAGTGCTCATGTGGCAAGCGTTTTACTGACTGAGCCCTCTCCCCAGGCCTCCTCTTTGAGAGTTTTGAGGATGCCTCTGATCCATTAGCCCTCACCAGTGACTCCTCCTGTCCTTGCTGCAGGTTACAAGACCCTCCTCAAGTGCCTGTCTGGTAAGTTCTGCCGCCGAGAGCTGATTGGCATCATGGGCCCCTCCGGGGCTGGCAAGTCCACGCTCATGAACATCTTGGCAGGGTATAGGTGAGCATGAGGAATGGAAGTGGAGCAGGACTCAGGAGGGGGACCCTCTTGAGGGAGCCCAGAAGGTGTTCTTAAGTGGCTTTGGTGCTCATCACCAACCATTCTCCCTGCAGGGAGTCTGGGATGAAGGGACAGATCCTGGTTAATGGGAGGCCGCGAGATCTGAGGACCTTCCGCAAGATGTCCTGTTACATCATGCAGGATGACATGCTTCTGCCACACCTCACAGTGCTGGAAGCCATGATGGTGAGGAGAGGGTGGCCTTCTCCTCCTCCAAGCTCCCCTTCTGCCGCCAGCTGAAGGGGATGGGCGGGGCCTGCCACACAAGGCTTCCTCACTTGTTTATCACTTTTTAGGTCTCTGCCAACCTGAAGCTGAGTGAGAAGCAGGAGGTGAAGAAGGAACTGGTGAGTGGGGTGGGGATGCAAGGGATGGAGCCGTTCTGAGGCTGATGAGTTCTAGGTCCCAAGTTGGGTGGGGACCAAGGGCTTAAGGGCCATGCTTTATGAAAGTGGGGTGCTGCTTAGGTGAAGCAGAGATACCGACGCTGACTAAGGCTGGGTGGGGTGCCTGCAGGTGACGGAGATCCTGACAGCCCTGGGCCTGATGTCCTGCTCTCACACGAGGACAGCCCTGCTCTCCGGAGGGCAGAGGAAGCGCCTGGCTATTGCCCTGGAGCTGGTCAACAACCCACCTGTCATGTTCTTTGATGAGCCTACCAGGTATCTCCCAGCTTCTCCTGACCTGGGTTTTCCTCTTCTCAGCCCTAAGCCAGGGCTGGATATGGTGTCTGGTTCATGGCTCCCTGGCTGGAGACCAGGTCTCCTGCTCGCAGCCTTCTGGGGACTCCATCCTTGCTAATCCAGTTGGAGCCAAGCTGCCCTGTCTTTCATCCAGGTAGAGATCTGGATGCGCCCTCACTCCTCCCCCTTCCTGATTGACAGCTCCCTCTCCTCTTCCCAACAGCCATTAGTCATCGAATCCTCCTTTGGGTAGCTCTCAGATTTGCCCAGCCCCGTCCCTGTTGCTTGAGCTCAGGGCATCATCAAGACTCATCTCCCTGCCTTCAGGTTCCCGGGCACCTTTCTCCAACCTGTGGCCAGAACAGGCTTTCTAAACAAGTCTAGAAAGTTCCACTCTCCTGCTTCAAACCGCACAAATGAGTCCCATTTGCCATCAAAATAGTCAGGCGGCCTCTTCTCCCATCTTTCATATTTTATGTTCTAATAACGCTGAGCTGCCCACAATTCCCAGCCAACCCCGTGTTCCATGCCCCTCAGCTTGACCCTTGCTGTGTCTTCTGTGTGGAATGCCCTTCACCGTGACTCCTTCCATTGTCCCTTCACAAGCGCTTGCTCTTTCTAGACTCAACCTTCTCTACCTATACTCCAGCCCACTGCTGCGTTACGGTGTGGCTGGTTCCCTGCCAGTCTGCCACTTGCCACTACACTTTCCACATCCCCTCAAGTCAACGACGATGACGAGCTTGTCTGTCTCTCTCTAGACCAGCCCAACACGGGCCCTTGCCGTTTCGGTGCCTGGCATGCAATAGGTGCTTGGCACATGGGTTTTCAAACTGAGCAGTGCCCTGGGCTTGCAAATATCTGAGCCATACAAGGCGTGCAGGATCTGGGAGTTCGTCCTGGCGTGCTTTCTGTTTCTGGGGCTGGAAAAAGGAAGGCCATGGCCAAAAGCAACGTGGGAAGGAAGGGTTTATTTGGCTTACATGTTCAGATCACAGTCCATCATTGAGGCACCCGAGGGCAGGAACTCAAGCAGGAACAGAGGCAGACACCATGGTGGAATGCTGTTTACTAGCTTGTTCTCTGAGGCTCATTCAGCTTGTTTATATATATATATATATGTATATATATATATATATATATATACATATATATATAAAAAACTCAGGACCACCTGATGGGGTGGCACCACACGTAGTAGGCTATGCCCTCCCACAACAATCATTACTCAGAAAAATGCCCCCACAGGCTGCTCTTCTGGTGGTATCTTCTCAATTACTGTTCCTTCTTCCCAAATGTGTCAAGTTGATAAAAACCAAGCAGCACACGGTGGCCAGAGGGCTGCCTTCCCACTAGACCCATCCCATTCTCAGAAGCTAGCCCGCCTCACACACCACCTCTTAGCCCCACCCGCCTCACTGGTCCCTGGTGACTTCTCTCTGGACAGCGGTCTAGACAGCGCTTCTTGTTTCCAAGTGGTGTCCCTCATGAAGTCCCTAGCCCACGGGGGCCGAACGGTCATCTGCACCATCCACCAGCCCAGTGCCAAGCTCTTTGAAATGTTTGACAAGGTCAGTATCCCCGAGTCTCCAAGAAGACTGGCCTGTGGTAGAGGGATAGAAGTGTCAGCGGGGTCCTCCAGTCCGCGGGTCACGTTTTCCTCATGTGCTCCTTTCTACCTCAGCTCTACATCCTGAGCCAGGGACAATGCATCTTCAAGGGCATGGTTACCAACCTGATCCCCTACCTGAAGGGGCTTGGCTTGCACTGCCCCACCTACCATAACCCTGCTGACTTCAGTAAGTGAGGGCTCCTGTGAGGAGGTGGGCTACAGAAGATGGCCACACTTTGGGTTTGGGTCATGGAGGCCTCTTGGGGACAGAGAGCTCATGGTCACTTGCCTTCCCCATATACCAAAGAGGGACTGCTCTGCCCTTGGGAACTGAGGGTGAAGCCTAGCTGAGCACTCTGCTCTGTGTCCCCTTAGTCATTGAGGTGGCCTCTGGCGAGTATGGAGACCTGAACCCCATTCTGGTCAGGGCAGTGCAGAATGGCCTTTGCACCATGGCTGAGAAGAAGAGCAGCCCAGAGAAGAATGAGGTCCCTGCCCACTGCGCCTCTTGCCCTCCGGTGAGTGGAGTGCAGAGGGCAGAATGGGGGAGGGGAGACGGGGCCACAGACAACGACCCTGCCAAAGAAGCTGTCCCCAGAGGCCTTGCCACCACTGTGTGATAGGAAGCCCCGTGTTTGGAACAGATCTACTGTTAACAGCAGTGTGACCTCCTGAGCTTTGGACTTCTCATCCACCCATTCCTCCAGAGCTCCCGTGAGCATCATTGGTGCGCTGTCTGCCCTCAGTGCCTGCTTAGGGACCATCTGGAAAGCATGGCCAATGCAATTGCTGACCTCGGGGCCAGTATGGTCTGCTGTTATCTCGGACCACACTAGCTTCCCAGAACAAGTGGGAAGGCTAGCTAGCAAGCTGCTCAGGTTCTTAGCAGGTAGCTGGGGCAGTCAGGGTCTACCTAGTGCTAGGTCCCTTCCTTAGGTGAGATGCCAAACCTCTGGTTTTCCAGAGTAACCTATGGTTACTAATCATGTCATCATTGTGCAATGAGAGAGCCAGTGGCCTATACACAGTTATGGCCAAGAGAGTCTTTGACTCCTGCCCCCCAAGTATCTTTATCTGCTCTCTCTCCCTTCCACCATCAATCTCCCTGAGGCTTTCACTCCTGAAGCAGCTTCAAGGTGAGCAGCTCAGGGGCAAAGGCTCCTCCTTCTGCAGTCCTGGGCCTTGTCTTGGGAAGAGCTTGGGACTCTCCCATCCACTGGGAGATGGGCAGTGGGTGGGTAGGCCACACTCACCGGGTCCCGTCTCTTCTCTCTAGGAAGTGGATCCTATCGAAAGCCACACTTTTGCCACCAGTACCCTCACCCAGTTCTGCATCCTCTTCAAGAGGACTTTCTTGTCCATCCTCAGGGACACGGTGAGATGTCAGGCTGAGGGGCAGGAGGTACAGGCTGGACGTCTTGGGCTCTCAGCATCTGGGATGGAGACTGGGGACACTGCCATCCCATGCCGTGTACCTTGGCTCTGTGTACCTGCAGGGAACCCCTGAGTTCCTATTCTAGCATGGCCTCCCCTGTATCCCCTACGCCCACTCCCTTGTCCTGGAACACATACCCCCCCCCCTCTCTTTTTTTCAAGACAGGGTTTCTCTGTGTAACAGTCTTGGCTGTCCAGGAACTCGCTCTGTAGACCAGGCTGGCCTCGAACTCACTGAGATCCGCCCGCCTCTGCCTCCCAGGTGCTGGAATTAAAGGCATGCACCGCCGCCCGGCTTCATAGCTCTTCTCTTGATGACCCATGCCATAGGTCTTGACCCACTTGCGGTTTATGTCACACGTGTTGATTGGCGTGCTCATCGGCCTCCTCTACCTGCACATTGGCGATGATGCCAGCAAGGTTTTCAACAACACCGGCTTCCTCTTCTTCTCCATGCTCTTCCTCATGTTTGCGGCCCTCATGCCCACGGTGCTCACCTGTGAGCTGATCTGCCTGGCGGGAAGGGCGGGGGTGCTGGGCACGAGGCAGGGGCCGAAGCTTAGCCTGTGGAGCCTGACCTACCTGTGCCCTCAGTCCCCTTAGAGATGGCGGTCTTCATGAGGGAGCACTTGAACTACTGGTACAGTCTCAAAGCGTATTACCTGGCCAAGACAATGGCTGATGTGCCCTTTCAGGTGAGTCTCTTCATGACTACTGCCTCGAGCAGATTCAGAGGTGATCTCATGGAATGTGTGGTCTAATGAGAAAACTGTAGCCAGATGTAGTGGCTCACCTCTCATTTCAACACTTGGCAGTGGGGGGCAGAGGGGACTGAGAGAAGAGGATTGCCATGAATTCAAGTCCAGCCAGAGCTACAGTGTGATTCCCTATCCCAAAATAAATAAATAAAAAGCTGAGCATAATAGCGGAATAGCAAATGTCTCTATCTGTTATAGGCAGCAGCGAGCTCAGAGGTCCTGGAACCTTACTTACTTTCAAGCTGTAAGACACTGCAAACCACCCAGTTTCTCTTTGCTTTAGTAGTGCCCCCACCTGTAAGACAGAACGACACCAGCGTCTTCCTTGGGGTTGTGCTTTAGAGTTATGTTAGTGAATGCATATAAAGTTTAATTATTATTATTATTATTATTATTGGTTTTTCAAAACAGAGTTTCTCTGTTTAGTCCTTGCTATCCTGGAACTCGCTCTGTAGACCAGGCTGGCCTCGAACTCAAAGATCCACCTGCCTCTGCCTCCGAAGTGCTGGGATTAAAGGTGTGCGCCACCACCGCCCAGCTAAAGTTTAATTTTTTATTTTATTTTATTTGAGATGGGTCTCTCTACATAGCTCTGGCTGTCCCGGAACTCACTATGTAGACTAGGCTGGCCTTGAACTCACAGAGATCTGCCTGCCTCTGCCTCCAGAGTGCTGGGATGAAAGGCATTTGTCACTATGCCCAGCAATGTTTGTTTACATTTATTTATTTGTCTTATGTGTGCATACACATTCTTGCCACAGTATATGTGGGGAGGTCAGAGGACAGCTTACAGAATTCAGTTCTCTCTCTCCAATATGTGGATTCTAGGGACTGAATCTGATTGTCAGACTCAGCAGGCAAGTACCTTTACCTGATGAGCCACCTTGCTGACTATACAGTTTTTCGAAGAGAGCTTGTCACAGTCTAAATGCCCCCCAAATACCAGATGGCACTTGTTAATCACATTACCACCTTGTTCGAAGCTTCAGGGCTACCAATAATCCATAGAGTACTTTGGTGCAAATCACAGAAAAGTCCCTTAGCTAGGTGTGGCCGGGCAGGCCGGTAGTCTCAGCACTTGGGAGCTGAAGCGGGATGATTAGGAATTCAAGGTCACCCACAGCTGGAGATAAAAATGAACTGCATGAGGTATCTGTCTCAAATGAACAAACAGCGAAAGTGGAAGTAGACTGTCCTTTACCATGTACAGAACTTAAAGAGAGAAATACTAGCTAGATCTTGGCCTCTGGTTGTCTCTGGGGGCTGGGAGCCTTTGTACAGGAAACAACCTGTACAACTGTAGCTAGTGACCAAGTTCCTGTTTCCCATGAGCTTGTTCGGGAAGTGTGTGTGTGTGTGTGTGTGTGTGTGTGTGTGTGTGTGTGTGTGTGTGTGTGTGTTGAGACAAGGTCTCACTTGGTAGCACAGGGCCCTGAGGGATGGGACTAGAGTTCCTGCCCTTCAGGCATGCTATCTGGGGTTCCATTCCCAGCGCTGCCAAGGAAAAAAAATATCATTTATTTTATTTTATTAGGGGTTTCTGAAGTGGGGCCTCAATCTTGAAGCCCAGGCTGTACTGGAACTGACTATCTAGACCAAGCTGACCTTGAACTCGTGGTGATCCCCCTGTCTCAGCCTCCCAAGTGCTAAGAAGTTATCACTTCTATTTGAGATTTACAACTGATGTTAAAGGTTAGGTATAGTAAGCAAAATGAAGCAAATTAGTAAGCCCATCATCATCTTATTTTTTATAAGAGCATCTAAGCTATGCTTATTTAACAAAAAAATATAGATACATTGTACCTCAGTAACTAGAGTCTCTGCTGTGTACTTTAGCGCTCTAGACTTGCCCAGCCCACATGTCTGCTTCTTTGTATCCAAAAGGTGGCAGCCTCAAGGGGAAACAGAGCTCTCTCCTACAGAGTTAATTCTTTAATAATGTAAGGAGACTAGAGAAACAGTTCAGTGATTAAAGGTTAGACATGCTTGCTGCCCTTCCAGAGGACTGGAGTTCAGTTCCCCCACACCCACATCAGGCGGCTCACTACGGCCTGTAACTCCACCTGCAGGGGATACAACACCCTCTTCTGGCCTCCATGGAGACTTGCTCATAGGTGGCATATATATACAGAGACATACACACATACACATAAATAAAAACAAGTCTTTTTTGTTGTTGTTGTTTTCGAGACAGGGTTTCTCCGTGTAGTTTTGGTGCCTGTCCTGGACCTCGCTCTGTAGACTAGGCTGGCCTCGAACTCACAGAGATCTGCCTGCCTCTGCTTCCTGAGTGCTGGCATTAAAGGCGTGAACCACCGCCGACTGGCAAAACAAGTCATATATATGTATATGTATATATATGTATATGTATGCATGTATATGGCTGGAGAGATGGATCAGTGGTTAGGAGTGTTCGTTGCTTTTACAGAAGGCTTGAGTTCAATTACCAGCACCCATGTCTGACAGCTTAACACACACACACACACACACACACACACACACACACACACACACACACACACACAAATACCCTGGTCTTGATGGGAAGAACTGTAGGTACTCAGAGGTGGGAGGAGTCACCGAGCATCAAAACAAGGCTTTCTAAGATGTAGTCAGGGAGGAAGGGGCCATGTGTCAGTCTAAAGAGCTGCCTGAACAAGAGCGGAGGCAGTGGAGACCCAGGAGAGGAGCCGTGGGAGCACTCACTCTCCGGTGAGGCGGTGGGAGGATTTAGGTCCCTAAGCTCCTCTGTGGCTGCTCCCCAGGTGGTATGCCCAGTCGTGTACTGCAGCATCGTGTACTGGATGACAGGCCAGCCAGCTGAGACCAGCCGCTTCCTGCTCTTCTCAGCCTTAGCCATAGCCACTGCCTTAGTAGCCCAGTCCTTGGGACTGTTGATTGGCGCTGCCTCCAACTCCCTGCAGGTGGGAAAGTTGTCACACAGTTGGCGGGGGTGGGGGTGGGGATGGGGGTGGGTGGAGGGTTGGGGGGGCTGGGGGGTTGGGGCTTGGGGGGGTGGGGGGTGTGTCTCATGGGAGCCATCAAGGGGTGGATGGCACTGTGGTCACCCTGTGACAGCGGGGCCCCTCTCCGCTCTCCTCCAGGTGGCCACCTTTGTGGGCCCGGTCACTGCCATCCCGGTCCTCCTGTTCTCCGGCTTCTTTGTCAGTTTCAAGACCATCCCCACTTACCTGCAGTGGAGCTCCTACCTCTCCTATGTCAGGTCGGTGTGTCTCCCTCCCCGCAGGAGGTCCCACCCGCTCTGCGGGGTGGGGGGGGGGGTGTTGCTAGGTCTGACATCTGCCCCTGCACCCTCACTGTGGCTGGGCTCTGGTGATTGCTGAGGGACAGGGGCCCTGTGCTCTGTGTCTTGCTCTAATGCCACTGTTTGCCTAGGTACGGCTTTGAAGGTCTGATCCTGACCATCTACGGCATGGAGCGAGGACACCTGACCTGCTTAGACGATCAGTGCCCATTCCGGGATCCACAGATCATCTTGCGAGAGCTCGATGTGGAGGAGGCTAAACTCTACATGGACTTCCTGGTCTTGGGCATTTTCTTTCTTGCCCTCCGACTGCTGGCATACCTTGTGCTCCGGTACCGGGTCAAGTCCGAGAGATAGAGCCTTGCCCCCACCTCTTCTGGGCAGGAAGCCCCCAGCTCCAGCCCTTTGGGACTGTTTTAAACTTGTAGACTTGGGCATTGGTTGCTGGTGCAGCTGCCGCCCTCCTCTCCCTCAGCTGCTCCACAGGTTGGCTGTGGGCCTGGGCTCCCAGCCTCAACCCTGGAGGTAGGGCTCCAGCCCTCCCCTTTAAGCCCGGGAGTCTTCCCAAGTTGATGCAGTTTGTAGCTTCCTCCCTACTCTCTCCAACACTTGCATGCAAAGACCACTGGGAGGTTGCCGCCCTCCTCTCCGCCCAAAGCATCCTTCTCTGTGTTTGCCTGGGAGCCCCAGGTTCTCCAGGCCGTGACTTACAAGTGATCAAAGTGACCCCTTCCGGGGGTCCCCACCACACTAGTGTTTGTAAACTGGGCTGCTAGAAGGTTGGAGTTCCAGGGCTGGGCCCTGGTGGGGTCCCCAGGGAGTCCCATCATAGACATTGGATGGAGCAAGGAGGGACTCTGGGAGTCTCTTCCTCCTCCTCCCCTTTCCTCCCCCCAACCCACTTTGGCTGATTTGGACAATCTGTTGGGACAGAAGCCGGGTTTTCTGTCTGGGTGACCACTCCCAATCCTGGAGATTGGAGAGACCATGGGACGTCCCACTCACTCCCTTCCCTAAACCTTCAGTCAGGGTAGGTCTCAATGGCACCTCTGCAATAATGTCTGTGTCACTTTCCCACCTGCCACTAGAACTGGAGAATGCACTTTATATTCTGGGGGGTGAGCCGGGGAAGCCTCGGTCCTCCCTTTGCTGCTCCTGAGGCTCAGTTCCACGGGCTCCTTTCCCCTCCAGAGTCACAGGCACACAAACGCAATCAGACAATCTTAGCCCCACACACGCACCATCCCTACGGCTCGGAGGAAGACTGATGGTGGTACCCGCACAGAGCTGACCGTGGCGATGGGAGGGCCATGCCAACCTCCTCCTGGGAATCCCACTTTGGAGGCTAAGAATGAGGCGGGTGTGACACAGTGTGGCTCTAGGCTCGGCAGGTGTCTCTCTCCCAGTCTTCCCTCTCTCTTGAGCCAGGGGTGGCACTGGGTACTTGCCTCCTGGAGGTCAGGACCCAACAAGCACAAGAATGGGCAGAGCTGGCTTCAGCCACTGCTCCCCCGTGGCCCTCCTTTTGTGCTCAAAGATGACACTCGCTCTTCTGCCCCTTCTCCAGCTGCCTGCTGCTCACTCAAACTTCTGTTCACATATCTCCTTCACTCTCCGGTCAGCAGCTGGTTCCTGGACATCAGAGCAGCAGGGCCTGGACACCAAGGTGGCAGACACACCTGGAGCGTGTCTGTTTTCTTGCGGGGGTCCAGGCTCATTCTACATCTGATTTCCCCTCCCCCAGGACTCTCTCCCCAGTCCCTGTGCTCACTCCTCTGTACTTTCTCCATTACACAGATGCCAGTTGTATTTGTGGGATTTCACTCATTATTAATAAAACCTATATTTATACAGTATGCAGTATGTGAATATGGGTCTGCCACTTGCTGCTATATGATATGTGTGGGCGGGGGGGGGGGGTGTCTTCAAAGCACTTGGCAAGATGCCTGCCAGCTTTGGGGATCCTGTGGCAGGGGTGTTAAGTCTCAGGCGTATGTCAAGCTCATGTATGTCTATCTTATGAAACATTTGTGTCATGCTTCCTACTTGACCAAAACGTCAGTGCCAACCCCACACTGGCCCTTGTCACCATGCCTAGTTTTTCAGTTGAGAAAAAGGTGACTTGGGCCCTTAGATGGTAGAAATGGAACCTTGAGGGATGGGGCTGTCGCTCAGTTGATAGAGTGCTTGCCTAGCGTGCCCTGAAGACTCTGTTCAGTGGCCAGCACTGCACACTCCAGATGTAGTGGCCCCCACTTTATCCCAGCACTTGGGAGGGGGACATAGGAGGACTGGAAGTTCAAAGTCAATCTCAGTTACCTAGGAAGTTCAAGGCCAGCCTGGGCAACATGAGACCCTTCCTAAAGGGGGTGGAGTGAGCAGTGGAACCTGGAGACCAAAACTTCTGCCACCAGACTCCATTCTCAGCATTGGTCAGGGCTCTTGGTCACAGCTGGGTCTGCAAGCTGTGTGTGGGAACTCATGTCTGTTGCATAGGTCTGTTGACAAAGTGACCCATGACTCTCTCCAGAGGGAAGGAGAGTGCCAGTCAGTGGCTTTCAGGAAGATCAATGGGCAGCAGAGAAGACCCCAGTCCAATGGTTTTCAACCTTCCTAATGCTGTGACTCTTTAATACAGTGCCTCATGTTGTGGTGACCCGCAACCATAAAATTATTTCCTTGCTACTTCATAATTGTAATTTTGCTACTGTTATGAGTCGTAGTGTAAATATCTGATATGCAACTCCAAGGGGGTCATGACCCACAGGTTGAGAACCTCTGCCCTAGACCCTCATCTACCTCCAGGATGGGAGTGGTAGGGATTTCATTGGGCTGTCTCCAATTTTCTCTTTTCCTTTCCCTCTTATTTTCTACTGTATTTTTGTATTTGGTGATTTATTTGACTGCAGTTTGAATCTAAGATCCTGCACATCCCCGGGCCTTTTAAAACAGTTTTAAACGGTTTTTTTTTTCTTTTTTTTTTTTTCTTCTTTTTTTTTGTTTTGTTTTGTTTTGGTTTTTTCAAGACAGGGTTTCTCTGTGTAGTTTTGGTGCCTGTCCTGGATCTCACACTGTAGCCCAGGCTGGCCTCGAACTCACAGAGATCCGCCTGCCTCTGCTTCCCGAGTGCTGGGATTAAAAGTGTGTGCCACCGCCACCAGCTGTTTTAAACTTTTAGACAAGGTCTCACATTGCCTGGGTTGGCTTTAAACTCACTCTGTAGCCTAGGCAGCCTTGGGTTTGTAACTCTCCTTCCTCAGCCTCCTAAATGGCTAAGATTACAGGCCTTGGCCTCCAAGGCCTTCTGCTGGTTCTTATTAAAAATGTAAACTCTTCACTAGGTGGTTTGTAATGAGTCTTCTTCTGTCCCACCAGCCAACTCCTGAATAATAACATGGAGACTTTTTTTTTTTTTTTTAAATTTTATGTGCACTGGTGTTTTGACTGTGTGAGGGTGTCAGATCTTGGAGTTACAGACAGTTGTGAGCTACCATGTGGGTGCTGGGAATTGAACCCAGGTCTTCTGGAAGAACAGTCAGTGCTCTTAACCGCTGAGCCATCTCTCCAGCCCCGAGACTTTTTATTAATTATGAAAGCTCGGCCTATAGCTCTTATAACTTAAATTAAACCGTTCACCTACATTCTATCACGTGGCATTACCTCTCTTCCATCTTGCACCTCCTTTTTCCTCTCTGTGTCTCCCGGAGTCTCTGAGCACCTCGATTCCTCCTCCTCTCCTCTCTCCCCGGAAATGCCGCCTGTACCTCCTGCCTAGCTATTGGCCATTCAGCTTTTTATTACACCAATCATAGTGATATATCTTCACACAGTGTACAGATATCCCACAACAGCAGTGGTGGTGTATGTCCTTAGTCCCAGCACTTGGGAGGCAGAGGCAGGCAGATCTTTGTGAATTTGAAGCCAGCCTGGTCTACAGAGTGAGTTCCAGGACAGCCAGAGCTACACAGGGAAATCCTGTTCTGACCAAAAAAAAAAAAAAAAAAAAAAAAAAGTAAATCCTTTCCCCACCCCATCCTAAACACACTCTCACTGAGCTACACTCCCAGCCCCAAAAGCAAATAGTTCTGAAATAATTAAACACCTTTGGTTTGAAGTTCCACAAAGAAGAGAGAGGGCAAACAGAGTCCATCTGAAGCCACGTCACCTGTCAGGCACTGAGAATACTTGCAAAATGGTTCACAAATTCACCAAGAGAGCTCCTTTGATTCCCACAGCAACCCCCCTCCCCCCACCCCAAGGTGGGGTAAGAGCAGCGCTGCCACCTCCATTTACAGCGAAGGGACCTGAAGCAGGCAGGAGTGACAGGCAAGCTCTCCAGACACTGTCACCCACCTGCTCCGCCTCCCCCCTGGTTCCAGCAACCTGCCCATCCAGGTCGGTCTGGAAATGGGTCCTCTCTCCCCTGCCCGCCTGCTGGGACTCAGAGACTGTGTTCTCACCGTGCGACCTCTCTGTGGCAGGGCCTGTGCAAAGGGCTGGAGGGCAGAGTTGATCCAATGGTCTTCTGTGCCATGGCTCTTGGGGCATCTGGTGCCGCATACTGAGGACAGACGACAGAGGACATGCCTGCAGCATGACTCACAGGCCTTCTGTCTGCAGAGGCCAGTCGAAATGTATGTTATTAATAAAACCCACACTGTTGTCATACCCATGGGGGGTTGGGGGGGGGAGAAATGGCTTGCTCTGAGCAATGGCCAATAATTGTAGCCAGGTGACAGTTGGCTTCCCATGGCTAGGTAAGTAAAGTAAGGCTAGAGAAGCCCCCCAGGCCCTTAAATGTTACCCCTGAGACTGTATCCATGGAGATGTTCAGCCTCATTCAATTCCTCTGGAAGAATTTCTTTTACTTTATTGTTTTAATTTAAAAAATGTGTGTGGGTGTTTTATTTGCATATATATCTGTGCACCACATAAATGCAGTACCCAAAGAGGCCAAAAGAGGGCGTCAGATCCACTGAGACTGGGGTTACAGGTGGTTGTGAGCTGTCATGTAGGTGCTGGGAATTGAAGACAGGTCCTCTGGAAGAACAGCCAGTGCTCTTAACTGCTGAGCCACCTCTCCAATCTTGGAAGAACTTCTTTTCAAATGCAAATATGCCATTTTCCATGCCGCTCACTATGCCTTTCTGACATATTTGTTTTTTGAGACAGGGTTTCTCTGTGTAACAGTCCTGGCTGTCCGGGAACTCACTCTGTAGACCAGGCTGGCCTCGAACTCACCGAGTTCCGCCTGCCTCTGCCTCCCGAGTGCTGGGACTAAAAGCCTGCACCACCACCGCCTGACTCTGATGTACTTTTTAGCGTCCACTTCAAATGTCACAGTCTCTGCTAGAAGCAGGTAGTAACTTCCTCTTCTAGGCTTTCCTAATGGTTTGCCTCTGTCTCTGAAGAACGTTCACTGTCAGCTTGGTGGGTTCCCGCACGACTTGTTCTGGTTAGCAGCCCAGGGTGAGTACTGGCCCAACACCACACACGGAATGAATGGACAATCGCCTAGGTGAAATAATCACCATTGTCTTCTGTTCCAATGAAGGGTAGACACAAAAGCCTCTTCCCAGCCCTGCCCCGAGGAACCTCTCTCTCGAGTTCTCTTCTTTCATGTCTGTTCCCTGCACGTCGCACACCCATGTTTGCATGCGGAGGCGTTCCTTGGCTGAAGGGGATGGGTGGCTCTGCCATGCCGGTTACGTGAACCTTGGATGTTCCTTGAATGGAAGGAATAAGGGTGGGGGTTTTTAGGACCCGGAAGTCCCAGGGCTAAACCATGACTGGATGGATGTCAGACAGGAAGAGCAGGTTGGAGTAGGAACTGTTTATCAGTCCCCAGTCTTCCTTCCTGGCCAAAGTGAACAGAGGCCCCCCTAGAGGTCTTGGGGCTGCATGACCTAGAAGGGAAGACCCGAGAAAGGCTTAGTCTTGTGCCTGGAGGTAAGCTACGGTTGTGACCAGGAAGAGAGGTCAGGAGGCCCTGGGGATGAATATCTGAGTGAGGAAGGCTTACACTTGTTCCGACTCATCTACTTCCAACTGGGACAACCTGCGCCAGTCATGTCACCCTTCTGCGCTTCATCTGCAGTTTTCATCTGTAAAATGGGCGTTATCAACAACTCCAGACTGGGAGGTGGATATGAGGTCATCGGCGGGGCCTGGTGCTTGGGAACCTGCAGGGGGCAGTACGGGAACCCTGGTCCCAGGAGGGCCGGGTGGGGCCTGTCCTCGCCCCGCGCCGGCTCCTCGGGTACCCTTCGGCAGGTCTCCGCTCTGTGCGCGCTTCGGTGCCCAGGCCGGGCGGGGTGCCAGAGTGGGCCGGGCTGCGCGCTGGCTGGCTGGCGGAGGCGGGCTAGACGCGCCGTGCCGAGCGAACCAGGGACGCTGGGAGCCAGCGGGAGACGCCGGCTTCCACCGCTCCGGGCCGCGGCGACGGGCACCAGGGCCTGGGCAGCCTGGGTAAAGGCCTAGCTGGCTCGATCACTCCTCCGGTCCCCGCTTGGGCGGCTGCGATGAGCCCCGGAAGCAAGAGTCGGGGTGCTGGGTCACGGGAGCGGGCAAGTGGCATTTGGGAGTTCTGCCGGAGCTTGGGCGCTCGCTGATTGTGGGCCTGCTGGCAGCTTCACTTTGCTCCCCGAAGCCAAGTGCAAGTGGGAGAGCTGTTGGTGGGGAAGCTCTGCGCCTTCTTGTCGCACTCCTTCTTTTGATGAGTGCCGTGACCACTGTTTGATTAGAGAATTATCCTAAACCCTGTGTGTCTTATCTTGACTCCGTGGACCTGGGGCTGATGCCAGTCCTGAGATTTGCCGGGTTTTCAGGACCTTTCCCTAACTCTGGGACTCCTGTT